CTGTGCTTGCCCTTTAGCGATAGTTGGGAGCCAAGACTAAGGCTTGACTACTCCTTTTTTTTTCTTTACTTTGCTAGCTGGGTTATTTGCTTTCCTTATATGTAAAGGAGATCAGTATTATTTATGAGCCACTGGAATCACTGAGAGACAAGGATAGTACTGTGAAGCTTAAAGCCTCAATAATAAATTGTGGGTTTAAGAACATCATCAAACTTGGGAGGGGTAACTGGAATTGTTTCTAAACAGAGAGTAGTTTATATACAGACAAGTTTATACTTAGAGTAGGTACTTAGTAAATACTTGTTAAATGAATGATTAAATTAATTGTTTAATATAAGAATATTTTTATTGCTTAAAAATTTTTTATTTTTAGAGCAGTTTTAGGTTTGAGCAGAAGATTATCTTTTTTTAAAGTTTACTTTGCATTCTTAAGGGCAGTTTTTATTATGTTTTAGCAGGGAAGTGTCCCCCGTTTCCCTTCCTCCATTTCCCCCTGGAACAGAGCTCTGAAATTATGAAGTTGAATCAGTAGCAAAATGTAATTTGATTTCTCAACACTTAATTTAAATATTTATTATGAGGAATGCATCCATAATGTAAATTGAGGTAGAGCTATCCTGTTCTGTTCTTTAAACCTAGTGTTCTCAATTGTTGTGGAATATAGTTTACCTAGTGACTCAAAACATTGTTGTGCAGTGAGAGCCTGTGTGTGATAAGTGTTGGCTTTGTTTTGTAGTGGATACCAGGATCATCAGATCTTTTTTGTTTTTGTTTACCATTTTGGACTTGTTTCACTCATTTTCTTTTCACCTGCCAATGTACTTTAACCTTTTCTGAATGATTCAGGAGGTCTTGATAACTTTTTTTTTTTAAAGATTTTATTTATTTATTTGTCAGAGAGCGAGCGAGGGAGCACAAGCAGGGGGAGCGGCAGGCAGAGGGAGAAGCAGGCTCCCCAGGACCCTGGGATCATGACCTGAGCCGAAGGCAGACGCTCAACCGACTGAGCCCCCCAGGCGCCCTGGTCCTGATAACTCTGAACTGTACTTTGCCAGGCTATCTGTTTTGAGTTGTACTGGGTATGTTACCCTGCCTCTTGAACCTCAGTTGCTGTGCTATTTTTTGTGTGTTTTCAGTATATTTTTAGTTTCTTTCTTTCCTGTTAGGCTGCCAGCAGTTACTTTTGGTTGCTGTAGGTACGCTTGCCTCAGGTTAGCCAGTCTTTCCCCTCTGATATGCTATTTCTAATGTGATGCTAGTTTTGAAACTGTTACTGCCCTTGTGAGGATTAAATGGAAACTATAGTAAATGGATTCCGTAAGACTTGTACTTGCCGTTAAAGGAGGCAGAGAAACAGTAGGGTTCAGATCTCACCTTTGACTAGGTTTGTAACTCAGGGCAAGTTACTTCTCTAAGACTCAGTTTCCTCAATTATAAAGTGTGGACAGTAGCAACCCCTGACTACACCAAAAGAAAAAACTTTTTGCATAGTGAAGGAAACCATCAACAAAATGAAAAGGCAACCTACTGAATGGGAGAAGATATTCACAAATGATATATCTGATAAGGGGTTAATGTCCAAAATACATAAAGAGCTTATATGATTCAACACTCCCCCAAAATAAATAATCTAATTAAAAAATGGGCAGAAGACATTTTTCAAAAGAAGACACGGATGGACAACAGACACATGGAGAGATGCTCAGCATCAGTAATCATTAGGGCAATGCAAATCAAAACTACAGTGAGATACCACTTTACATTTGTGAGAATGGTTAGAATCAAAAAGACAAGAAATAACAAGTATTGGTGAGGATGTGGAGAAAAAGGAACCGTCATACACTGTTGGTAGGAATGCAAACTGATGCAGCCGCTGTGGAAAACGGTATGGAGGTTCCTCAAAAAATTAAAAATAGAAATACCATTTGGTCCAGTAATCACACTATTGGGTATTTACCCCAAAAATGAAAACATGAATTTGAAAAAATATATGCACCTCTGTGTTTATTGCAGTATTATCTACAGTAGCCAAGATTTAGAAACAACTAAAGCCATCAATAGATGAATGGATAAAGAAGATACACACACACACACACACGTGCATGCAGTGGAATATTACTCAGCCGTAAAAAGGATAAAATCTAGCCATTTTTGACAAGGATGGACCTAGAGGGTATAATGCTAAATTAAATAAGTCAGAGAAAGACAAATACCATATGGTTTCACTTATATATGGAAGCTAAAAAAAAAAAACAACGAATAAACAAAAAGCAGAAACAGACTCATAAATCCCCAGAACAAACTGAAGGTTGCCAGAGGGGAGGGAATGAGGGATGGGCAAATTGGGTAAAGCAGAGTGGGAGATACAGCCTCCTAGTTTATGGAATGAATAAGTCATGGAGATAAAAGGTACTGCATCGTAGGGAATATAGTCAGTGGTATTGTAATAGGGTTGTATGGTGACAGATGGTAGCTACACTTGAGGTGAGCATAGTATAATACATACTTTATGGTCTGAGAAAATCTGTGCCTTTTAAACCTCAGAGGGCAGGTGTATTAACAAACTACAGAATTTTCAAATAAATGAAGAATTCCATTACCTCACTATTGCTGTTGATGAATTGGCCTCTGACGACATGTAAGCATCAAAACTCACAGTGTCTTTTCAGGTGAGAGGCTGACATGAGCGACTTGATTAACTTTGAGAAAAATCTTATGAAAAAGGACTGTTGAACTTTCCCGAGTTTGTTTCTGCTTTGGAATATATCTTGTGTCATGTGAAGTAGTCAAATCTTTTTCCATGACCTGTTTTTATTGTTACAAAGTGTTATTTCTTAGGCACTAACTGGGTTTAGAGGTTACAAATTTAAAATCACAGCATCAGCAAATCTCATGGTTGGAAGGGATGTTAAAGATCATGTAGTCAACCTGTCAGATAGCTGAGTTCTCACAAAGCGTTCATTCACCCTTCAGAAGTAGGCAGATTCTCTGTCTTGGGCTTATTCATTCCATTATTTGAATCTTCAGAAACTCTCCTGTTAGAAAGTTCTTTCTTTCAGTGTTCAATGTTGAGGAATACTTTCTCTCTCTGTGGCTCACCCGTTGGTTCTGATTCTAACTCTTGGACAAATAGTCTAATCACTTGTCTACAATATTTAGGAAACTCTCCTGTTTTTCTCCAAGGCTATATGTCTTCTGATCTTTCATCTTTTCCTCTTGTCTCTTAAAATATAATGTTCAAAACTATGGACACTATTCCAGGTAGAGTCTGACCTGTGCTGAATGGAACAAAAATTTCACTTTGCACATTTGATACTATATTTCCATTACTGTATCTAAAATCACATTAATTTGGGGGACAACCTCATCATCACCTTGACTTCCTTTGAAGTTAATTGTCAACTTAAGCCTATAAAGCTTTTTCATACATAAATGGGCATGACTCACCTATCCTGTACCACTACAGTTCTTTAAGACCCAAGTGCAGGACTTTAGATTTACGCCTTTTCAAATTCATTCTGTTAGATTCAGCCCATTGAAACAGTCTGTTGAAGTATTTTTGGCTCATGGTTGGGTCATCCAGCATATTTGTCTTCCTGCCCAGCTTTTTGTCATCTGCAGATTTGATAAGTATGTTTTCTTTTCTCCATCTTAGTTGTTAACAGAGATGTTGAGGCAGTCCAGGCTGGAATCATTCCATTGTACCATACTATTGCTAGTAGAGTTTAATGGGCAGGATTAATTGTATATGGAGACAGAATTGTCAGTTTAGATCCAATATTCCATAATTATAGCAGGAAATGTCTTTTGGTGAGTAGTCCTATTGTAGCCGCTTAAAAACTATTAAGTGAGAGATAATAGAAGTAAGGATGTTCATTAAGAGTGAGATAAGGAACTAGTTTGGAAAGTTGATGATCCTGCTTATATTCTTATATATAGTTAAGTATAATATATATTTACTAATTAATAAAATAGAATACAATTCTTATATTCTTATGGAAGGTCTTAAGCAGAGACCTTTATGGACTGATTAGAGGCAATGTGGTATAGGAGAAGAATCCCTTAACTAGCCCTGAGATGTTTTATTCACTTATTTATTTAGCAAATAAATATTAAGTGCCTACTATACTTACTTAAGCCCTGGATATACAATGGTTAAAAAAAAAAACAGCCCAGACTTGATCTTTACCTTCAATGGAGCTTACATTCTAATGGGGGAAACGATTCAATAATTACACAGGTGAAATCAATACTTTCTGTGATCTGTATTCTAGATAGGTACTGTCCAACAAACAACGCAAGTCATATATTGAATTTAAAAGTTTCTAGTAGCTCCATTTAAAAAAGTAAAAAGAAAGTAATGAAATTTATTTTAATAATTTTATCTAACTCAGTATATCTGAAATAATATTTCAACATGTAAGCAGTTTAAAAAATTTGAGGTATTTGTATTCTTTTTGTTGAACTAAATCTTTGAAATCTTAAACTTATGCCACATGGCAGTTGAAACTAGTCACATTTTAAGTGTTCAGTAGCCACATATAGCTAGTAGCTTCTGTGTTGGACAGCACAGCACTGTGCCCATCTTTACAGACTACTTGGTGGTGTTGGGCAAATTACTTTCCTTGTGTAGGGCTCCTGTTTTCATTCAGTGAAATGAAAGATTTTGATTTGCTTAGCTTCTAACAACTAAATGTGGGTCCCTTGCATGTATGAGAGCATCTTTTGAAGTGCTCTAAATCTCCATCTTGATCTGGGTGCTGCTTACATAGGTATATATAATATGTAATTTATCAAGCTATACACTTAAGATTTGTATACTTTATAGTATTTGTGTTATACCTCAATGAAAGTTGTTTTTTTTTTTAAATAAGATCACTTCCAGTTTTTTTATTCTGTGTTCTTTGCTGAAATTACTCAGATGAGCTGACCTTCAGTATGAATATGTGATATAAAAAGTGCAAACAGCCAGTTACTCTTTATATCTTCTTCCCACCCAGGATGTGTCTAGTCCGAATGAAGCAGGAAGGCCGGAGTGGGAAATATATGTGTCGGATCATAGTTCATTTTATGTGGGAGGATGTTGAGCAGCGTGGCAGAGTCATGGGGGTAAGTGAAATGCTGTCCCATTCTGGTCCTGGAAAACTCCAATGAGGGATTGCCTGACTTGAGTTGATGCTTTTTTTTTTTTTAATAAGGGTTTTATTTATTTATTTGAGAGAGAGAGAGAGAGAGAGAGCACAAGAGGGGGGGAGCAGGAGAGGGAGCAGCAGACTCCCCGCTGAGCAGGGAGCCCGACGCGGGACTCGATCCCGGGACTCCAGGATCATGACCTGAGCCGAAGGCAGTCGCTTAACCGAGCCACCCAGGCACCCTTGAGTTGATGTTTTATGTGTTCTAGAGTGGCTTTGCTTTTAGATTTCTGTGTAATGCTGCCTAATGTCAGGTGGTAATTCAGCTAGAGTTGTTTCTGCCTCTATGGAGACTTTATGTGTTTGCACACAATATTATGGTTTGTCAATGCGAGGACATCCTGTGTGTGGAAATGGAATTATTAAGCCCAAGTAATGGTGGTAAGAGGGTTGGATTTGTTGAATGGAGGAAATCAAATAATAATTGAGCTTTAGGATGCTGTGCCTTTGACACCAATTCAATGTTTGAACCAGTCCTCCTCTAAATTTGTTCTGATGGAAATACCCTGGCATCATGCCTGCACTGTCCTCAGAAACTGAAAAACAAGCTCCTTGATCACTAACAACCTAGAATAATTTGGCAAGGTATCTAATGAAAATGTACATTAGTACATTTAATAATTAACCTGAGAAAGGGGGATATATAGTATATATATATATATATAAAAACATAGAATGTAATGGTAATAGAAAAATGAAACTAAAACATTAGAATACAGTTGTTTATATAAATAGTAATCTTCCTTTGGGTATATTGCATATTTTTGTGTCCAGACCATATTTTAGTAGATTGTAAACCTTGTTTTCTTCCATTTCATTGCCTCCCAGCTTAGGATCATCTAAAGCAGAACCATCAGATGGGGTCACAAAATGGGTTATTTTGGTTTTTTTTCATTACAGTGTTCTCCCTACAGACTGAGGAGTAAACAGTTTATATATGTTCTATAAAAGTCATACATGTTCATAGAATAAAAATCAAAAAGTAAAAAGCATTTAATGTAAAGACAAGTGTCTTTTCCCTATTCCAACTCCCCAAAAGTAACCATTGTTAAGAGTTGATGTGTATCTTGGGGCGCCTGGGTGGCTCAGTCGTTAAGCATCTGCCTTCGGCTTAGGTCATGATCCCGGGGTCCTGGGATTGAGCCCCACATCGGGCTCCCTGCTTGGCGGGAGGCCTGATTCTCCCTCTCCCACTCCCCTCCCTGCTTGTGTTTCCTCTCTCGCTGTCTCTCTCTGTCAAATAAATAAATAAAATCTTAAAAAAAAAAAAGAGTTGATGTGTATACTTCTAGCTGGTTCCTATATAAATGCAAATTATAAATACGTATTCTTTAACATAACACAAATGGGCTTAACCATACACAGTTTTGCATCCTGGCTTTTTAACTTAATATATATTAGATACGGATTTTTTTAAAGATTTATTTTTTATTTTTTTTAAGATTTATTTATTTATTTTATTAATTTGAAAGAGAGACACAGAGATAGTGAGAGAGAGCACAGGCAGGGAGAAGAGGGAGAAGCAGGCTCCCCGCTGAGCAGGGAGCCCCATGTGGGACTCAATCCCTTGGGATCATGACCCAAGCCAAAGGCAGATGCTAAACCCACTGAGCATCCAGGCAACCCTAAAAGATTTTTTTTTTTAAGTAATCTCTACACCCAATGTGCGGCTCAAATTCAGCACCCTGAGATCAAGAGTTGTTCCAATGACTGAGCCAGCCAGGTGTCCCTATACTAGATATGTTTTTATTTTATGATTGTTTTTAAAATTCAAAATGTTTCAACTAAGACGGAAATCCCTTTAATCATCAATCTCATTCCTGGCCAGTTACCTCCTTCCAGGAGGTAATCACTGTTTCCACTTTGGTATATATCTTTTAAGGCCTTCTTCTATGTTATCTATAGAAAATATATACTGTTGGTTTTGTGTGTGTATATTTGATTATACATGATATTGTCCTCCGTGTACTAATAGCAATTAATATGTACTTAATTTTTTTCACTCAGCAATATGTCTGGAGATTTTTCCGTGCTCCATGGGAGTTAAGTGGGAGGTCGTCACCCATGTTGTATTTATTGTAATTATTTTCACACACTCCTGTGTCATTGACTAATGGTATCATGTGCTTACTCTATGTGTAAAAGTGTGGTCTTTGAGGCTCAATCATGGAGATGATGGTTTCCTACTGAGAGGGTATTTCCAAATTCTCGTATCTTTGGAGGAACTGCAAACATAGGAAGCACAGTGGACATGGATTCATCTTAAGATGTCTTCAGTGACATATACATGCCTTTCTTTGGGACAGTAGACCATTGGTGTTTCTGTTCATTCTAAAAAGAGGATAGCATATGTCAGAATTTTAGCTGCTGTCAGCATCATCATCATTTGTTTTGGAGTCAGTGAATACTGACTGTCTTTGTGTGTTCTTTGGTTGCTTGTTCATTTTTTTCACTGTCAGGCCTTTCTGCTGTCTTTGCTACCCAGAGTAGATCAGCAGCCTTGAAGCTATTTGTGTAGCTGAGTGTCCCACATACCCTCAGGTACTTGTATCCAACTCTGTGGCAGCACCCAGTGGACATACGGTGGTGCTGCTAGTACCAAATCATTTAATGATAGCCAGTGACACCCCCTGGCCAGCCACAGCCTTGGCTGACTGCCGTTCAGTGACACAGTAGTTCTTCTAATTAGTTAGCCTGTGTTTTCTTATCACTATTGACTGAACTTGCCTGGACGTTGGACTGCTAGACCCATGTGGGTCACATGGCTTAATGAGCCATACATTACTGACTCTTGAACTACAGGAACCTTTTAGTTATTAACCCCCCCATGAATTTCCCTTGGACCTCCATAAATATCTCCATCACAATCTCCAGCACTTTGAACCTTCTGTGTTACTTTATAATGTTACTTCCACTTGACTGCATGCTTTATAAAGGCAGGAGACTTGTTTTAACCACACATTTTTGCTTACATGGTAAACATTGGATGAATAAATACTTGTTGAATGAATGAATAAATTGAATCTCAGCCTCTGAAATTCTGTTTTGAAGCCAACTTATCAGATAGATGATGCTTGATTTATTTGTTTCTAGACCATGTGTGCATCAGTGCAGTCCTGTGGGAGTTAGTTTTTCCTTTTCTTTTTTTCTTTTCCTTCATTTTATCCACCCATTTTTCTTTGTGAATTTTTCTGGATACGATGTCTTATAGAGAAGTGTGTTAGATCGGTGTTTCTCACACTTTAATGTGCCTGTAGTCCACCTGGGGATATTGTTAAAATACAAATTTGATTCAGTAGGTTGGGGTGGAGCCAGAGAGTCTACATTTCTAGAAAGCTTCAGGTGATGCCAGTGCCACAGGTGGAGCAGGGTGAGGATGTGGCAACCACGCTTTGAATAGCAAGGTTTTAGATGATCCATAATGCTCCCCAAGTACAGACTTGTAAACTCACCTGCATGAAGAGAAATGTCAAGCCCCAGTTCAGTCACAAAGACTATAAATAAAAGATGGTGATTTAAAAATAACAGATGTTTGGAAGAGTTGGGGAATTGCTATTACTGCTTTTCTATTGTAATTGACTTGGTCCCCCCATACCCCTATTCCAAACTCATGGTATAAACAGATGCCCTTTATACAGGCAAGAAAACTGTATTTTAACCACTTCTGTTATGAGTGTGGTTGTGTGTGTAGAGGGGTTCTCAGTCTTGCGTGTGTGTACAACCTAAAGAAATGGGAAAGTTAGGGACATGTGGCTGGAGAAAGTAGTAGGGAGCCAGTCTGGCCTGGTTCTGACCTGGCTGCCAAGTCTCTCCTCCTCAGTGCTTCAGTTTCTTTTAAAAATTTGAGTTGGGGTGCCTCAAAAAATCTGATTTGAAGGTGGTAATTTGTAAATCTGTCTCTGTGTAATTTGGCATCCCAAGTGTACATCTTTAAGAAAACTTATATAAAAAGTAGAATTTATAAGACTGATCAGTGTAGTGGTGATCTTTTTCATGCCAAAGAATTCTTAGAGGCTATTACTTTGAGTGGAACCACTTGTGAATTAATGGCGAATCAGAAATTTGAATCAAGAACTCCTTTGAAATTAGAATTGCAGTCTCATTTGGTGGGGAAATTTTTATTAAAAAATTTATGCTTTTTATCAGCTTTTTAGGAGCCCAACTATTGTGAAAAACAAGGCAGACTCATATATCATTAGTGAAGCCGGTATAAAATGCAAGTGTTAAATTTGAGGTTACAGAAATCACATCAATAATTTAGAGCGTTCTGACTTAAAAAAAAAACACATTATTTGGGATTTAAACATATAAATTAGCTGTGGAAATAAAGTTCATTATATCACCTCATCTGGTCTTGTTTTATTTCATTAACTGGTTCTTAAAAACCTTTGTGAGCTGAGTTGCAGCTGAAGAGGTTGGAGACCATTTTTCCTTGGGCCCTTGCCTCACTCCTGAGTGTTGGTAAGAGTAGAGAACTAAGACTTGACACAGCTGTAAAAACAGACAGGCCTTTGGCCTCAGCACTTTCTCCTGGTGCAGGCACATTTCAGATGTAAATTTCACTTTCTGCCTCTCCTACTAATGAAGTAAGTTTCTTTTGCTGGGTTTGCAGCCAGGTGTGTCCAGTCTTGTGGCTAACCCTGGCGCTTTAGTTAATTTTTCCATTTGTGACATTTCAACCAAACTTAAAAAACAAACATAAAAATTAGCTCAAGGCAGTGGCTCAAAGTGTTAATGGTAACCTTAGGCTGGCTAAACGACTTCCTCTCAGTTCTGCCCTGCCAGACATCTCCACCTTGTGGCTCACAATGAGCAGGTTTAAGCTTTCCAAGCCTTGGAGACTAGGTGGGAAAGAGTATTAAGAAATTCCAAGTTTATCAATGGTCCCTGGAATGCCAGTTGTCTCATCAGGACTTC